CATTCTCCCCATGATGCTTCATAAAAGGGGCCGAGGGCTGGTGAGAGGGGCTTGACCCCAGGGGCATATCAGGAATCCCCCCCAGGGGGTAGGTACTGCCCCTGGGCCCGTCCTGCCCAGAGGCAGATGGCCCCTTCCCTTCAGAGTGGGCTGGGCAGGGGGCTGTGGGGCCAGCCTGATGAGCTGACTCCTGCTTGCTTTGCAGCTTTTCGCCATGATCTTCGCCATGTGCCTCTTTCGGGGCATCCAGTAGATGGTGTGGCCTGATGCCTTGCCCTGCCCACCACTGCCCAGCACCCAATGCACTCCCCTGCCCCTTCCGCTGTCCTCTTGGCCCCAGGGGAGGCAATGAGGCCATCATGGATGGCCAGGAGAAGGGTCAAGGGAATAGAGCTATTTTTTTAAGAAGACAAAAAATGAAGACAAAAGTAAGAACTGATGTACCCTCGCCTGGACTCCAGGGCAGGTGCCATGAGCTCTCCGCAGGGACCCCAGCGCCTGGCCCAGGACACAGTCTGCTCTAGAGACCAAAGGAACATCAGTCCCAGGTCCCCTCCTTGGCTCAGCCAGACTCTGGTATCCCTAGGCCCGGGCCCTCTGTCCTCACAGCTTCAGGACCTGGTGCCAGGGAAGTGAGGATTTAGGCAACAAGGAGGCAAAGGCAAAACCTCAGAGAAGTCATCCAAGCCTAAGGGGAGCCCAGGGAGACCCAACTGCTATGTTCTTGAAGACTCAGAACTTACAGTGCAATCCCTGGCCCACCAGAGCAGGGAGTTGTCCCCACCGCAGGCCAGGGTCAAGTGCGGGCTACAGACACTGGATACAAGAACAGCCCAGCAAGCAGGTCCTTGCTTTCCTATCTGTTGGACCAAATATTCTCAAAGGCCCAGAGCAGGGCAGTGACCTGTCCAGTCACAGAGCACAAGTGTGACAGTTCTGAACAAGAACGTGAGGCATCTCCAGGCTGCTGGCCCTCCATTCAGGGCTCTGTCACATCTGCTGCTTACATGCCCCCCACCCCACTCTGGCCTCGGCATCCATTCCCAGAGAAGAGAGATGGCCCACTGGCCAGGAGCTGCCTCCTCCCAGTGTTATAGCTAAGACTTTGAACCATGTGTCCCCCCCAACCAAACACGTGTGCACATCACATTCCCTTGTCCAGACTGCCCACCGCTCCCCACAAGCCACCCCTTCCATGTCCTTCCCCAACTGCCAGAGTGGAAGAAACCCCCAAGATCATCTGGGTCTCCCTCTCCCCACCCAGGCTTGCAGACTCTTGCCGAGACATTTCCACTTTCTGATTGCCTATTTCCACTTTCTGATTGCCTATCTCCAGGGACAGAGAGCTTACTACCTCCCAAGGCAGCCTTCTGTCTTTGGACTGCTCTGATTTTACTATCAGCTTGACATACAGAAGAGATTTCTGTTTTTCTGTGGTTCTGTCCATGTCATCCCACCTGTCCTTCCCACAGCGTTAGGGTTACACATCAACTCCCCTGAGCTCTCTTCTCTCCAGGCTACTATTCCCAAGGCATTGTAGCCACTTCTGCTACAAGGTTTTCTGTTCCTTCCCACTGTCCATACGTGTCTGAGTACTCCCTCTAGGCGTGGCAGGGACACTCACAGATTGACACCCAAACACTCATACCTGCTTCAAAGTCTAGGCCAGTGTTAGCAATTGAATTACAAGACTCTCTGACACTGATCCATTAGGAGCAGCTGCCGGAGACTGTGCTGAAGATCCAAGGTTTGGCCTGGGGTCAGTGGGAGAGGGCAGCGCAAGCCTAATTAATGTCTGTCAAATTGTCTGCCACAATTTGATTAGTGATGTCTGCCATAGGCACAGGGATGGAAAGACCAGCATGATGCTTGGTCTTTGCTCTCCCTCCACTGTCCCTCTTCAGATCCTATGAAGACCCCATTGTCTCACAAGCTACTGGCACCCTGTACCAGCCCCCAGCCTCTCATTAAGCTTTCCAATTACCTGGGAGACACAGAGCTCAGCGTTCCCTGCCTGCCACCTGCCCTCTTCTGAGATGCAGCCAGCTCTGTGCCTATAGTGAAGATTCAGTGTGACCCTTCTCCTGCTGAACCCACCAGTCCTGGTCCTCGCCCTAGGTTTCTGATTTGGTCTTCCCAAATTGTCCCTGTAACGGCATGCCCTGGCCACTTCATAAATGATGCCATGAGCTCCCTAGAGACTGAGCTCCCAGGCCCCAGAAGGACCTGCATCTGGGGCCCCGGCCTAGCCTGTGAAGGGCTTGAGGCCTGACCCTCTCTGGACCCACCTACATAATTACCTCCAGCTTCCTGATGAGGCAAATGGCTGGTCTGGTCTTAACAAAAACCCCAAACTCTGGCTGGGCAAGACTAGGTCAAATTGTACAGCTCCATGGCTCTAGTCCAGAGGCATTCCAGGTTTCTAGGGCCCACAGAAGAACTAGAGGGAGGATCTAGAAGTACTGGTCACAGAGCAACCTCTGGCCGAGGTGGATTCAAGGGTGGTTCCAAGACTCTTCCCAAGGGCTCTCCATAAAGGTGCAACAGCTCCCCAGCTGTTCCCACCTTCTCAGGCTGGAGAGGAAGAGCAGGCCACATAACCTCAGGCTGATAGCTATTTGCAAGGCTGCCTGAGGCCATTCCATAGGTGCCAAGGAAAAGGAAGCCCAGCCCAAATCAAGGCAGCTTCCCTCAAGGGTGCAAGATCTGCAGGATTCGGCTGGCTTGTCCAGCTATGCCCACAGGAGGTTCTTGAGGCATGCCTGGGACGATGCCTCTTTTTCTCATCCCAAGATACTACAGCCCACAACTGAGACCTCCTCTGACTCCACTACAGGGGAACAAACAAGGAAGAACACACAGTTGTTGATCACACACCCTGCCCCGTACTGAAAGCCACTTTCCCGAAGTTACTATTGTCTTGGAGGAAGGGCATCTATCTCACTGGCTGGGAGTGAGGGGCCTGGCCCGTCTCCGGGATCCCTGCTGGTATCCAGCCTTGTTGCTTGGGTCTTCCCTGTCCCCTCGCTATCCATGCCCATGGGGCCCAGATAGGACTCCCCAAACCAGCTGGGGCCTTGGTGCCCCCCAAGCCCCCCTTCCCATCCCCAACAGGTCCTATGTTGAAAGTCTATTTTGAAAACTGTACATGTTCCTTGCAGTAGATAGCAGAGCTAATTTATCATGTTTATCTCCTGTGAGTCTCCCCTTTTTATATTATATATCGAGAGTTTTTGTAATATAAAACAGGACACCCACACTGATGGTTTTGCACTGGTTTTTGTGACTGTTTCTTACAAAAAGAAAAAGGAACGAAGAATAAATAGTGACCGTGAAGAAAAGTGGTCTTGATTTGGGGGGATGGGGGTAGCCTGAGGCTGAGGCGGAAGGTTCAGAGGGTGCCGGGTTCCAGCTGCAGGGGGGATGGGGAAAGAGGCATTCCAGGTCATCCCAAGTAGAGCAGAGAGCTGGGCCCACACCTGCTGAGGGTACCTCCCCCACCCGGCACTACCTCCTTCCCAACCATAACCCTTACTTGACTTAATGTTCCCCACCCCACCCCCCCACCCCCAGGCCACATCTGTCCTGCAGACCTTATCTGACCTCAGGGGACCCCCCCACCCTCACCTCCAGGATTCACTACAATTAAATCTAACTAATTCACAGGGGATTGAGCTCTGGACAGCCCCATCTCCTGGGAGCAGCCCCCCCACCCCCACCCTTGCCATCCCACAGCTTAGGGAGGAAGGTTTGGTGACTGCAGCCCAGCAGATGCCCGGGCAGCGGGCACCTCAAGCTTCCCCCTTCCCTTGTCTGCCTCCTACCATGGGATCTACCTGCCACTCCCAGCAGTTAATGGGAGGATAAACCCACCATCGCCCACTGGAGGATCAGCGGGGCTTTAACAGGCCTGGCTCAGGTGGGAGACTGAGGCTTTGGCAGTGGGCTCCCAGCTGCTGGTGGCACAGCAGCAGGGGCACAGCCCCTTAGAGAGAGGCAAAGACTTGGATGTTGGACAGAGGGACTCTTCCCCAGAGTCCGGCCTGCCATTACACTTGGCCACTCCTCAGCTGTGACTATAGTCGTACCACCTCTCTGCTGGGCATGGGCCATGTCACTGGGCAAGTAGCTGCAGGACAACTTGGCCCAGCCCACCAGGCAGCAGCATTCCACACCTCCCCAACTATGTCCCAAGAAAGGAAAGGAGTCTGGACCGGTGGCTTCTCCTCTCTCACTCAGCCCCCAGGATTAGATAGTCCTGCTGTGCACACTGCCAGGAAGGAGAGCACTGGGGACAAGGACTTATGGGGTACCTGGAACAGGTGAGGAGCCCTGCAGGGACAGGCAGGGCAGGGGGTCTCTGGGGCACTGGGTGGGGAGGGGAGCTGAGAGAAGGGACCTACTGAAATGTTCCTGCTTATTCCTTGGTTGAGTCTGAGGCCTACTCAGCCAGGCCTTGAGGGCAATCCAGGCTAGGGAGCCAGAAGGCAGCTCCCTAGGAAAGGGGCTGAGCTAGGTGGACAGCAGGCCACAGCTTTCCTTGCCTCCCACACCTCCGAATGCCACCACTTACAGTGGCTCCATGGGGGCTATGTGTGTGCCCACCTGTCTGTGGGGGCCTGTGGGTGTGGCCACTGGCAGTATCTGAACCCAGACTGGTTGGGGAAGAGCACCCCAGAGCAAGGCCCAAGAGAGCTCATGGAGGCCGGGCCTGGGATGGGGACAGGGCTTGTGGCTACGTAGAAAAGGTGTAAAGGCAGTGCCAACTCAAAGACAGCACACCCCTGTCTGCCCGCTGTCTGCTGGGCTGCAAGAAGGGGGATGCGTGAGTGCACGCATGTGTATGTGTGTGTGTGTGTGTGTGTGTGTGTGTTGGGGGGTGCACAGATTGAGAAGTAGGGGCACAGGTCCAAGTTCTCAGGTTTTCCAGGCACAGAGGGAAGCCAAGTTCAGCTGCTTGGGCACTAGGTTGCCTGGGGGTGTAGGGAGAAGGAGAGGGGGTGATCCATAGACTCTTTCAAAAGCAAGGACTTCCTGGAAGAAGAGGCTAGACCCTCAACTTAGCCCACTACCCCTATGACTGGAATGTGACTTCAGTCTGTCTGTCAAGAGGATTCGGAGGCTGAAACACCCAATGAAAGGAGGTGCCACTGTGGGGAGTAAAGAATGGGGGTGCAGAGGCCCCCATCTCTCCCCAAACCAGGATCGCAAACCTGGAAGCCCAGAAGAACACAGCATCCGGTGAGTGCCCAGGAGGAAACGAAGGCCACCACCTCTCCCTGTCTGGACCAGGGCAGGGGTCCCCTTGCCTTCCAAAAGGAAAGAGGCCCCCGAGAGCCACCCTGCTCCAGGCATGGGCAGGGTCCCCTGACCCAGGGGCGGCTAGACTTTCTTGGGTCTTCGGCCGACCTGGTAATAGTAGTAAATGCTGATAACAACAAAAAGGAGGCGGCTGGCCAGGAGCAGCAGGGTCCCCAGAGACATAAGGCCCGTCTCAGCAAGTGTGGCAGTGACCACTGTGGAGAGAAAGGCCAGAGAAGGGACAGAGGTCAGAGGAGGGGATGTGTCCTCATGACCCACCATGGGATACCAAACTGAGGCAGCCCCCATGGCCACTTTGTGGCCACTTTGTTACCCCACCCTGAGCCCAGGGGTCCTGCCAGCTAGGAAGCACAGGGCCCACCCCCGCCCCTGCCGAGCCCACAGATGTTTCTGTTCTTATGTCCCCCATGTAGCAGGAACTGGGGCACAGCACGCGGACACAACTGAGCCTGTGCCATCACACAGGTGCTGGGTACACAGTGAGCAGCAGATACAAGGGGCTGCCGGAGGTTATGCACAGGAGGGTGGAGGGCTGTGGATGCACATGTGTGGACGAGAGGAAACAGGTGTGTACATCAGGTGTGCTCACAAAGGTAAACAGAGCCAGGTGAGTCCCTACACCTCTGACCCCACTCTACCCCCCACCTTGACAGTTTTTATCACATTCTGCAAACCCAAGAGGCTGGAGCTGGTGGGGGGTGGGGGGAGCTGCCCACCCTCACTGCCCACCTCAGAACTCACCCAAGAACTGGACCCCAAAGTAGCAGGCTTCTGTAAGCAGGGTCCACCGGATAATGATCTTCTCAGCTGTGTACAGTGCGTTCCACATGATCAGGGAGATGCCTATGAGGTGGGGAAGGACTCCCTCAGGGCAGGGGCCGGGGCCTGTTCCTCCCTTTGGCTGCTGCTGCAAGACAGCCAGGGCCCTGGGCTCCACGTCCTCACTCCAACTCACAGTCCTCAAATCAAAGGTGTCTGTTCCTGTCCCATCCCCTCTAGGCTCACCTCTGCCACTTTAGCCTACGCCTGTCATCTCCAAGATCCTATGGGACACTAGGCAAGTCATTTCTCCCCCCGGGACTCAGTCTCTTCCCCTGTAAAGTGGAAGCACTGAGCTACTGGTCCCCCTCGTATTTGGATTTGTCATTAAAATCCTGCAGATGTCATCTAGGAGTTAATGGGTTACCAGCTCATGTGACTGGGTTTGCTTTCCAAATGGGCTCCTGAAGACAGAAGACCTAAGCCCATTAAAGAATGACTCTAAGGAACTCCCCGAGATAGCGGGATGGACAATGTTTTTAGTGGAAGAGCTAGCAACTCAGCCTCTAGCAGGCCCTGCTGGCTTTGAACGCCAGATGTCACCAAGTATTTACACACTTTATTTCAACAACCCTTAGTCCAGAGGAGCTGAGACTTTACTCTGCAGGCATAAGGGAGCCACCGAATGTTTTGGAGAGGGATAACACCTATGTTAAGCATTAAAAATTATTCATTCAGTTTCCTAACAGCTCCTGTGTGTGTGTCCACCTCAGATTAGAGGAAATAGCTGGTTTGGATGCTCTGGGATGTAGAAAGAATGGATGTAAGGGTCCTGCAGCCCTTGCCCTGACTCTGGAGAGGCCCCATTCACCTCTGTACCCCAAGGCCCAGGGCAGTGCATGAACACACAGCAAGCACTCAGTAAGTGCTTGCCTCAGGTGGGGGCAGGTGTATCCCAAGCCACGGGAATATGCCACAAATGGCCACAGGATGGCAGCATACACCCGACAGAGACAGACCCTCTAGACTACGTCATAGAGCTGGTTGGGGAAGGCAAGGGCCAGTGGGTTGTGGGAGGCAGGCCTCAGGCCCAGGTTGGGGGGGGGGGAGTTGACTGTTGACCTTTCCCATGGACATCTCCTTTCCTCCACAGGAGCTGCGGAGGGGGCAGGGCTGCAGCATCCAGGCAGGGGAAGGAAGGGGTCCCAGCAGAGGCAGGTTCCCCGACCCCTCAACCCTCCCAGCAGTCCCAGCAGCCTGTGGCCACCCTTAGAGTCTGCCCCAGCAATACTCACTGAGGAGGGCACCACCATAGAGGCGGATGGGGGTCTTGCTGGTCACCTCGGCTCCATCGAAGACCACATCATAGAGCTGGTCAGGGAAGGCAAGGGCCTGTGGGTTGTGGGAGGGGGGACTCAGCGGTCAGGCTCAGGGTTGGTGGGGGCGAGTTAACTGTTGACATTTCCCACGGAGGACATTTTCCCGCCCCAGGAGCAGAGCCAGGGTCCTGGAGATGGCCAGGGGATGTCCAGGGTTGGAACCCAAGGGTCCCCAACCCTCCATGACAGGATAGAAGGCTCCAGGGACAGACAGGGCTGTAGACCTTGGAATCTAGGATGCCCCAGGGGAGGACACTGGTGGGATATGTCAGAGGCTAGGGGCCAGGCTGCAGTGGGGGCTCACCATGACAGCAATGCCGGAGAAGAGCACAGCAGAAACAAACTGCCAAACCCTGGGGAGGCGTGGAGAGGAGGGTCAGCGCCAGGTCCCCCACTGCCACCCCAGGCCCTAGGGCCCTTCCCTTCTCTGCCAAGATGCCCAGGGATGGCTGGTTTGGGGGGAGATAGGGAGAGGGGATGGAGTCAAGGGCAAGATGAAATAGGGGCAAAGCCAAATAGGGGGAGTCCTATGCATTCCCCCAACCCTGCCCCTGAAATAAACTCGGATCAATGCTTACCTGAGCCCCAAAGGCTCCCGAACAGTGAACTTGGTCTCGTTGCCCAAGACCTGGCTGATCTGTGGACACAGTGGGGTCAGAGGCAACCAGGGTGAGGGCAGCTCTCAGCACACCTGGCCCCTCATCTTCCCAGAGCCCCCAGCGTCCCCAGGAATCAGGACAGTCACATCGAGGCTGCTCCGTCTTGATGGAGACACCAAGGATGAAAAGCAGCTGAAAATATGGAGACTAAGAATGAAAACAAAAGCTCGGGGGGCTACTGTAGTGGGCTTGAATCCTGTTTCTGCCACCGACTGGTGTATCCTCAGACAGATCACTTATTCTCTGAGCCTCAATTTCCTTGTCTATAAAACGGGCTAGTAATTGTCAGTCTCTTCATCTGTCAGTGCTAGCAAGAAGATTAAAAAGCGCTCATACAGCAACTAGTACAATATGTGGCACATAACAGGTACTTAATTAATTCTAACAATCTGTCTTTATTATTGTTATTCTCCTGACATCGTCATTAAATTTCCTCAAAATGAGCTAAGTCCTAGGACTCCAGCAGCTGCAGGAGCCTCGGCTACTTTTCCCCCAAATGGCAGGTCAGACCTGCCTCCCCACACTGGTGCTCAGAGGCGGCCCCAGGCGTTGCCAGCTGCAGTTCCCTACCCAGTAGCCCACCTTGGAGCGGTGCACCTCCCCGTCATCGTCCTCCCCGCCCACGCCGAGAATCTTCCGGGTCTTCAGGCGGCTCACAAGGTCCGTCTGGCTGTGCTTCTTCATGAGGGGTGGGGGCTGCTTGGCGGCCATTTTCCCCTTGAGCCCAGCCTCTGCAGAGGACTGAAGGGAGACAGGGGTCTCAGGCCACCTTCCCACCAAGCCTCCAGATGTAAGGGGAAGGGGCCCAACAGAAGGGGGGGCCAGGCGCCCTCTAGGCCTGCCTAGGGCAGCAGGTAGGGCCCAACTGGCCTCAGTTTCTTCATCTGTCAAATGGGCTGGGGGATGTTCTGGCTCTGGGAGCCTGTCTGGCCTAAATAGACATGACACACCCCTTCCCACCAGGCTGGACGGAGGCTTATGGCCAGCTCTGGAGGAGTGGCGACAAGAAAGGGCATTCAGGCCTTCATGGAGGCAATACCCCAGCTTCTTGGGATATGAGAGTCAGTGGGGGGTAGGGGGAAATAAGGCTTATAGGATGGAAGGGGCAGCCTAAGCCTGTGCCAGGCACTTCTGAGGTCTAAGCCCCTACCAAACTACTGCCCAGACAATCCTGCTGCCCAGCAAGGCCCACCACATGTCCCTGCCAAGAAATAGGACCAAAGGAAAGGGAGGAGGTGGCCCAGGACCCAGCTGAGCCAGAGGAGGAATCAGAGGTGTTGGAAGGGACACACCCACCCCAGGTCTGCCCATGATCCTCCATAGCTGCCAGTGCCTGGCCACCCCCAGCAGCACCTCGGGCCAGCTTGTGAGCATCTGCTGCCGGGCCTTGCACTGGGTGACAGAATGCAGAGATGAGCTGAGTGCTTGTCGGGTCTCTGGTTAGTCACAATCTATGCAGAGCGGAGAGGTGTGGACCAGGAAAGGACTGTAAGCGAGGTGCAAGCTCAAAGGCTCCGAGGGTGGCCTTGGTTCCTCTGGTCACAGTGGCCTTGCAAGATGGTTGCTGTTTATGGCCACAGTGCAGAGGAGGGCACCAAGCTCCCTGGGCAGTGACAGAAGATGAGAGTGAGGAACAGCAGTGAAGAACAGCCACCCACCGTGGGTGTCGGTCAGCACCTCATGTCCACTCACACTCACCCTCTGGCAAGGCAATGAAACCATCCCCAGGAACAGATCAAGCTCAGAAGCCTCCTGTCCCCCAGCTAGGGGACCTTGCCATCTCAGTGACCCCAGGAAAATCTATGTGACCCCAGGGAAATCTCACTATCCCAGCCCCAGGTAGGGCTGACAGAGGCAGAGTAAGGGAATGTCCCCAGGCCACCTCCTGTTTTCAAACTTCCCAGTGTTTTAAAACTTTATTAAGGGCCCAAAAAATAAACGTCAGAAGAGAGACAACTGGGATATCTCAATGACGTGGCTTTAGACCAGATGGACTAGAGAGATAGTGTACTAGCTCGCGCTGGGAAATCACAGCAAAAATTGACGAGAGGTCTCCACTAAGCGTCATGTCCCAGCCAAACAGCCCTCCTACATCCCCTGGGCCTTGGTCCCTCATCTATAAAGGGGGTGGATGTCCTTTCCCCTCACCCCACACATAAGCCCTGGGTGATGGGGCACTAAGGGTGGTGACCAGGCTGGCACTCCCCTTCTGGGCACGTGGAGGCTCTTGGTTAAGGCTGCCGTGGTGTGTGCCAGCCAGCAGGGGAGGTAGCTGACCCCACCCAGCAGGGAGACCAGGCTCTAGCCTTCCATCACATGGCTCCCGGAGGGCTGAGGAAGCCCAGCACTTCAACCACTTGCCGCCACTTCCTTATGAATCCAGACAGAAGCTATAATTAGCCTCATCCCTCCCACCACCCCCTGGGGAAGCTGCCCCAGAGTTGTCCTGGCCTTCAGCAAAGGACACAGTAGATGTTGCCTGGCCCTTCCTAACCCGTCTCTTCGGGCCTCCCCTGTGGCCTTTTGTTCTTTAATACATACAAAACTGTCTTTTTAAAACTGTACAGTTACAGAATTTTAGCACATAGATTCATGCAGCCACCAACTCCATGTCAGGACACAGGGAAGTTCCAGCAAACCATAAAATCCCTCGTGCTGTCCCAGCTACACCCTCCCCTCTCTCCTGTCAGCCACCAATCTGTTCTCTGTCACCAGTTTTGTTTCCGTTTTTCAAATATGTCACATAAATGGAATGATCAGGTATACAATGTCCTAAGACCAGCTTCACTCCGCACAATGCCCCGGGATGCACCCAGGTGCTGAGTGTATCAAATCCCTTCTTGTTTACAGCAGAGAGTACTCCACAGGACACACGCACTCGTTTGTTTATCCCTGTGCTCACTGAAGGACATTTGAGTTGTTTCCAGTTTTATGAATAGAGCTGCTATAAACATTCATGCACCGCTTTTTGTGGGACCAAGTTTTCCTTTCTCTAAGGTAAATACTAGGAGCGGGACTGCTGGTCATCTAGGGTACATCTCTGCTGAACTTTTGGAGTCTACAGAGTGGCTCCACCACTGCGAGTGCCCCAGAACTGTGTGAGCATCCCGGCTCCTCCACGCCAATGCTTGGCATGGCTGGTCTTTACTCTCGCCCATCTGCTAGGTCCTCCTAGCTTTTTAACCCTTCTCTCCCGAGCCAGCCATGCTGTCCCAGCCAGTCCTGCCCTGCCCCTTCCTGACTGTGTGGCCTTGTGTTATCTCCCTACCTGTGACATGGAGCTCTAATTCCCACCTCCTGGGGATTTGGGGGGCTAAAAAAGAAGGAGCCGTGATCACAGCACTCAGCGCAGTGCCTGTACATCTGAATGAGGAAACCCCATTTAGTGAGGTCTGCTCTGAGCCAGGTACTGGGTGGGAGTGACAGGGCCCCTGCCCTGAAGGAGCTCTGGGCACTGATTAGAGCAAGTGACCTCCCCTCTCTGAGCTCCAATGTTCGCATCTGCAAATTGAAAAGAACAACCCCTACTTTTCCCCTGGAGCTAGTGTAAGGAGAAACAGTGCCTTGTGAAGAGCCAGCCAGCTGCTAAAGCCAGAGGCCTATGGTTATGAATGTAACTGCTGAGGTCACTCTCTGGGTTCAATCCCAGATCCACCCCTTCTCAGCTGTGTACCTGTGGACAAGCCACATAATCACCATGTGCCTCAGTCTCCCCACCTGTAGTTGGGAAAATAAGGGGTCCTATCTCATAGAGATGGTGGGAGAGTCAAAGATACCATCTGACATTGTGGGCCGGTGCCTGGCCTGTGGAATGTGCTCAGGGAAGACAGTGGTCACCCCCACACCCCAAAGCCGCTCATGCGACAGAGGTTCTGGGATGGAGCAGGGGAGGATCTGGTGCCTGTAATAACAGCATTTCCTAACCTCTGCACTCCTGCCAAGCCAAGCCCCCAGGCCTTGGTCCCAGGGTACAAGGCCCACCAAGCTTGGGCTATGGCAATGACCCACCTCGAGGGCTCAGAAGCTTCCGAGTGTTAAGACGCCTGCTGACCTCTCCCTGCTAACAGACACACACACCAAGCAGTCCCCTCTGAGTCCATGACAGGGGCTGCAAAGGCTACGGAGGCATGCTGGTGCCAGCCTGCTGGGGTTGGATCTAGAGCGGACACTACAGTGTCCTGGGCACAGTGTCACCCATGGGTGACACAAGTCTTATCCACAGTGACTGCCATCAGGTACCTGGGTCCTGGGACCCACTCTGCCCACCCTCAGAACGCAGCCCTAGCAGGGAGCTCATCACACACAAAGGGCCCCTATGGCCTCCCAGGGAGGAAGATGCCCCCCACCCCCTGCCACCTTCCAGCACAGCTAACTGTTCTAAGCACTGGGTCTGTCCCCACTTCACCCCCAGGATTGGGCCCCACAATGATCCTATCTACCACTAACCCATAAAATGCCCCGCCCCTCAGGCAAACCCTGTCCCCCCACACCCTCCCTCGGGTCTCCCCTAGACCCTTCCTCCCCTTGGAGGCCACACTCCAAGTGTTTATATCAGGCCCGGCACCATTTTACCCTAAGCGGGGACAGAGGGCACCTCCCGCCACTCCAAGCCATGCACCCTGGCCAATCACTGGCTTTAGGGTGGGTGGACCTGGGCTTGAATCTCAGCTCTGCCCTCTTACCAGCCGCATGGTTTTGGGCAAGTCACAGCAGCTCTTCCAGTCTCAGTTTCCCCCCTTGTGAAATGGACTCACGAGAATGCCCACCTGGATGACGTGGTAGTGGGAGAGAGAGGGAGTGCAGGAGGGTGCCCGCCGGAGAGGCCCAGGGAGTGCCCCAGGGAGAGGCCCAGCCCTCCTTCCGCTTCCCTCCCTCCTTCACTCAGCCATACACAGTGGAAAAACCTGCAGTCAGCACTGCCAGGCTTCCTGTTCCACCCAGCTGCCTTCTAAAGGGCCACCGGGCTGCTGAAGACTGGGGGTGGGCGGTGGGCAGCATCTGCCCTCTCACCTGCTGGCTCAGCTGCCCCACAGGGAGAAGATGTGGCCCCCAGCGCCGGGCCAGGATCCTGAGCCTCTGCCTTCTGTTCCTGGCCAGACTCATTAACCTAATTCCCAAATATACCCCAACCCGGTCCCTTGAATAATTCCCACTGCTGGCCTTTCACCCAAGGGGGAGGGTCCTCCCTGACACTGCCCTGCCCCCATGCCCTTTACTCATGGCCACCTTTGCCTGGCCCCTCTGCCCAGGGCACAGGGCCCTCTCCCTCCTCTGGACTCTCACAGGACTCAGGGACATTTTGTGGCACTTCGGTCCCCAAGACAGAGCAACCTGAAGGTAGGGCTGGTGTTGTGCTCATCCCTGTATCTCCCCTGGCCAAGGTGCACAGCAGGTGCTTCGTCAGTACAGGTGGGAGGAGTGGCAGTTGGGCTAACTCCACCCGGAACACTCAGGTCAGACGTGGCAGGCCCGAGGGGAAGGGCTGTTTCACTGCATGCTTGACAGAGCAGGAAACTGAGGCCAGTGGAGGCAGGGTCTGCCCCTGCCCCCACGTGAGCTGCTGCAAAAAGTGAGGATGACAAGTGAGGATGATGCAGTGCAGGAAGGGGCTTTGCAGTTAGGCAGAGGTGGGTCTGCATCTGGCCTCCCCTACTGGTCCAATGGCCGAGGCAACCAGCGTCACCTCCATGCTTTCGATACAGTGGGAATCACCCATCAGCACCTTACTCGTGGGGTACAAA